GACAGCGGCAGACAACGTTTGAAGATTTTGTTCGACGCAGCGGACGTAAGCCTCAGGACCTTGAATGGCCGTGAGCATTTTGGCGAAAGCTGGGAGTTTTGGAAGATGATAGACAATATGATGGTCCTCTCACTGAAGGAGCGCTGGGCTGGAGGAGCGCCGATATTTGAAGTGGAAGGTACAATCACCTGGCGCTCTGATCGACATCGGGCTCCACAGTTGTGACAGGCCACTTAGCACCCACCACAGTACAAGTATGGACCAAAATAGAAATCCCTCTATATCCCTAGATAGTATACTGTATTTATGCAAATCATTAAACACAGAAATAGAAAATTGTTATTTTTGAGGAAGTCGGTTGAACAGGACATTACTCCACATCAACAGTCTCGTTCTGTTCTCGGTCGACGAATTTATAACGAGGTGGCATCTGCAATAGAGAATAGCCTACTAACAACAAACATGTCTAATTCCTTTCAAGAAAGTCAAAATACGCAAGATAAATATGTCGACCACAGGTTTGCCGCAGGACCTGGGTTCGAGGACGGAACACTCGACATGGACTTCTCTCTACCACAGCTTGATTGTACAGATCCTGATTTTCTTTGTTTGGACCCCTTTCCTTTTCATTCCATAAATGATGAGAGCTTCCCACTTCTAAGTTCGGTCGTGCTATCAGGAGTTACAGAACCATCACTGGCAACAGACAATTTCCTCCTCGATGGCTCCGGTGACTCGAACGCACTTCACAGTGAATTTCAGAAACGTATTGACCATCTGGATGAGACTTGCAGGAGACTACAAAATGAGTATGACCAAACTATTGTCACTATCAAGTGAAAAAGCGTGCTGATACAATATTTTCAGGTTTCACTACATGCAGAGGTGAGCACCACTCAGATGTATTACGTCCATAGGCTCTAAACTTACCTACCCGACAAAGTCGTGTTTGGTCAGTCGAAACATACCTCAGGCAGCTGGGTGGTTGGTACCTCAACTTCAAGGCGGCCGTAAACAAGAATACGGCCATGTTGTCCGGTCGGATGGAATCACTTATGATGGGTACATTCTTTTCTTGATGCCGATTGCTTCGGTGGCGCATGGAGAGATACGTACAGAAAGATGTCATAATGGAGCAAGCGAAGGGATTTATAGTGTTGACTTTCCTCTTATAGCCTGTATCTACAGTATTTGGTTGTACTATATCTCCGTATAAGATGATCATGAAGAGCACATTCCCTAATAACCAGTCCAATGCAGAACTTTGACTCATCGGAACGAGGAAGCGACCAACTGCTCCGGATACTATTGTACATAGACTAGGGTTCGATTGGTTTCTCCTTCCCGCTGTACCGACTAGGTTGCAAGATCCAGGCGATGACCCTTCCTCCTCTATCTCCCTCGTCCTATGTCCCACTTCATCAGGGCCCTTTACGGCAAGTTTCGACGAATACCAGCACGACGAGCCACGACGAATCGGTGAAACTCGAACCCTGGGATCATATCACCCATATTCCCGATCGTCGGAGGGTTCAAAATTTGAACGCTCAGGTGATTATGCACTTACAGGATGTTTGGGTTGGGTCACTTACAATATGACTACATAGAGAAAATATCGCCACAGGCTCAAAAGACGATATGCAGAGCTGGAGGAACTGGCCAGGGGAAGAGCGCCCGAAGCATTAAAATTTATGAAATATACACCAACGTGCGAGAAGGGATCTTCATTTCCAGACTCGGAGTTTCAAGATGGCGCGAATATTTCTCGATGCGCCTCATACGGCTCGACTGTATCGACGAGAGCTTCAACGACCCTGGACCATCCAGAAAGACTCCAGCGAAGCCATCATACTGTCACTGAATTTCCGCACCGTTTTCCCTCTGTCCAACCGGATCGTCAAGATACATATGACCACGGCCGAGATATGTATTGGGAGCCTTTGGCCGCTTCTCCATCAGGGCCTGACTCCCTATCCTTTGCACCACCGGAGATGAACGACGCTTCGCCCGAAGGCTGCTGTGCAGACGAACAAGAAATATGCCCATGGAACCTGGCGTATAACTCCCTATTGGGTTTATGAATGTCTCTAAAAGTACTCGGCTTGGACGGAGTGAGATTGATAGTGAAACATACCAGCTCCAGTTTGAAGGAAAGGAAAATGATGGATTGCTGATGCCAAACCAGTTCGACACTAAGTCGACAGTCTCATTATATCTCTCTTACGTGCCAGCTGCAACCATAGCTTTTTCAGACAAATGAACAAAACATTGTGGCGTCTGATGATCAAGAAGCTGGGAAATGGTGTTAACGAAGTGTCCCTAGTGTTGTTCCTTAAGTAGCGCTCACCGCTTATACGTTGGTGACATCTGTATCTATTTCAGCTTGTTCAAGTAAACCGCGTAGGATCTTGCCTGTGCTAGACCGAGGGATCTTGGTGACGAATACGACACCTCCAGTCAGCTGCTTGTATGAGATGAGCTTGGACTTGACAAATTCCTCGACGTGTTCCTCCGTCAGCCGAGGCCAGCCCTGGGCATCAGAGTCGCTAGGTCGTTGACGAACCACATACGCGCGAAGTAATGTATCAACGAGACCATGTTCATCTTCAGAAGCCACACCGGCCACCGCCACGTCAGATATCAGCGGGTGACGTGATAGGATACTCTCAATTTCGGTCGGAGACACCTGCCAGCCTTTGACCTTGATGGTTTCTTTCATTCGACCGGCGTAGAAGACCTTGCCAGCTCGAAGGTAAACGAGGTCACCAGTTCGAAAGAATCCCTCCCGGTCAATGGCCGCTTGGTTCGCGTCCACGTCGTTGAGGTAGCCGGAGAACATGCTTGGACTGTGGATCAGCCCTTCTCCAGGGTTGCCTTCGGTCGAGAAGAGGGTAGACACTGGAGAGTGATCGACTTTCATCCGGACATTCGGCAATAAGTGCCCTACGCTCCCAGTATCGTCTTTCTCCCGCCAGGAAAAGAGCGTAATCCAGCCGGTTTCGGTACTGCCCCAGCATTGCGAAATCACGGCATTCGGGCTCAGGACATTGTAAAGGTGATTTTGAACCGCCGCTGACATCGGGGCAGCGGCAGAAATGAGATGCCGTAATGAAAGAAGGAGATAACGCTCAGACAGTGGAATCGAGGCAACGCTGGACGCTATTGAAGGCACGATTGCCATGTCCGTGATGGTAAAGCGGCCGACCGCTCGGGTGAAATCTGCCAAATCGAACCGTGGAAGGAAGTAGGTAGGAATTCCCAGCCGTAACGGCAGAAGCATTGCCAGTGGCATGGCAAAGGCATGAAAGATCGGCAAGAAAATCAACTGTCTTGGCTGTATGACATGTCAGAATGATCGTCTTGCCTTCGCGATGGAAAAGGGGAAGAGACATCGTGAAGAAAAAGGATAACACGGACCACATAAGTCTTGGCACGAAATTCATTTTCCAAAGTCGCAGTTTGGGAAACTATTGATCGATGAGAGAGCATGGCGGCTTTCGGGAGACCCGTGGTGCCGCTGGTCATCGCATAGGCCGCAATTTGACTCGGTTCCGGTCGCTCCCAATCATCTTCGCCACACCGAAGAAGGTCCTCCCAACTTCGGCAACCCTTTGGATCCCTCTCCGATTCGAGATCAATCAAGAATATGTGATCGGCGGCGAGCGATCCGTGCGAAGATACTTCAAGGACTAGGTCTGAGCATTGTACCTGGGTCACAACGAACTTTGGATTCGTCAACTTGAAGATGTGGGACAGCTCGGAAGGCGTGTAGCCTGGGTTCGTTCCCAGGACGCAACCTCCCGCCCCGATTATCCCGAGCCAGATCAGCGGATACCAGATCTAATGGTGTCCTTGTCAGTGTATTCTTTTTTTGAATCAGTCTGGCGTTGTGTTCGCCGGGGCAGTCGAAACCCCTGTTTCGCGGGAAGGGGACGGTTGCCGCGATGGACTGGCTTACGTTGTTGTACATATGACAGCAAACCACGTCCTGTTCCTGCAATCCATGTTCTTTGAAACCCTTGACAAGTCGACGGATAATGTAATAGGCTTGATACCAGGATATCCTCTTCGAAGGGTCTTTAGCATCCACGAAGACCTAAATGTGTTTAGCCCAGTTTACGGCTAGGAGGATCGATTTACCTGTTGATCATTCTCGAACAGCCCCGGACGATCGAATGCGAACGTCAGAACATCCGTGGATGGAATAATGACCTCCTGAGGCCTGGGAGCAATGGGGACGGAGGTCGACATGATACTACTATTATGGTTAGCCGCGGCTCTCAACGAGAGAGCGCAGGTGGAATAAACTTCCTCGATGAATCAGACTCGGCGGAGAGGTCACGTACTGCCGTAGTACAACTTGCCACGCAGGACAAATTTCATTTGTCCGGTGTCCGGATTCCTACAAACCCAGAACCAGGCACGTATGAACGGGGTTGAAGATCAACTTATATTACTCGAACCAGTTTGCCCCTCATGCAGTGGAAGGTAGATGGGTCTCAGTCTATTTCCAACTTCCAAATGCTCGACCTTCTGACGCCACCGTAAGAATCCAAGAGCCGACCCACCATGGACCTGATACCGTGGTAGCTAGGACGTAGGTACAGAATTGTAAAGAACAGTACTGCATGTTTCGTGGAATGTGACTACAGTATTGCCCATGTCTAGCCTATAAGTCCTTGCTTCTGGACAAACTTGAATCTTGTTTCGAGCTTGTCTCTACGACTCTAGGTCTTATTGCTCAAAGACACTCATCATATACCGGGCGAAGCTCGTGAGAAGGTGAGCCTCTAATGGAGATGCGGATTACTATACCTTCACCTCTGGACAAGTCCCGGCCAGCATTACCCCTCGCCAACCACCCGAGTTGTGCGGCCGGTGAATGCCTACCACCTTTGCCTGACCGGAAGTATCATCCTCTCATACGCGCTCTACGTTGGTCGGTTCTCTCTGTTTATCGCCGGCTTTGTTTGCTGGTCATCATGATCAACATCCTTACAATGGCGGCCCTCGGCGCCAAACATCAACTCTTCTCGTTGTCGTCAGGCGCCACCACTGCGGCCACCTCGATCAACCTCACGACCGCAGTCCTGATACGCCAAGAACTGGTGGTAAACTCGCTTTTTTGGATCCTGGGCCGATGTCCAACCTGGACTCCTCTTCGCCTTCGACGCCTGGCGGCGAAGGTATATCATCTTGGCGGTGTTCATAGCGGCGCCGCCATCGCGGCTACTCTCTGGTTCGCTATCTCCAACGTGACCCTATTCAGCGCTTTGAGCTCGACCTCAGCCAAGGAGAACGAAATCTCTATCCGGACCATCACCATTCTCCTCGACATCCTGCTGGTCACGACAATCGCGACCGCCTTTCCAACCTTCCGTACCTGGGCTCACGATCTATTTGAGATCATTCACCGTTTCTTGGGATGGATTGCTCTGGTCCTATTTTGGATCTTGTTTGGGTTCCTGGCTCACGTCCAGCTCACAGACGGTCCTGAACTCACCGTGATGGATGTGGTCGGTGCGAGTCCCGCATTCTGGAGTCTCCTCCTGGCAACTTTCTCCATAGTGCTGCCCTGGCTCCGTCTGCGCAAAGAGTCTGTTCGTTCCGAGCCACTTTCCGATCACGCCCTTCAGCTTCATTTCGCCGGAGAGCGTCTGCCACTGTGCGCGGCGGTCCGGCTGTCAAC